ATTGACTTCTGTATTGATTTTCAGCTATACAATTATGCATAAGTCAGAGTGACACCAGTGTAGATGTGATTTGCATTTTGACAAATGATATGATAGATGTATAACCATGAATAATTGCATATTTACACTCATGGGTAAGACGACTCTATGTAATCGACGCTGTGTTGAAATTTACTGTGGTATACACAATTATTACATCAGGCGCGGAAACATAAACTATACGTGTTCTGTATGCGGGATAGGGGTCAAAGGTCGTTATTGTTTATGTAAGGAACACGGTGCAGATAGGGTCAGGAACCAGATTATTTATGCTAGGAAGAGAGATTACATCAATGAGAGGAATAGGTTGGGGAGAATACGTATTTAGATATATGAAAACAACCAATTAGACTTTTTTACTCATTTTGCATATACCATTCAACCACAATGGTTTTTGTCAGAGAGTTGAAGGCTATGGCAAAGCAAAGTGGCCTACGTGGATATTCTCGAATGAGAAAAGCTGAATTGATTACCTTACTCGGTTTGGGATACAACAAACCCCAGACAGTTAGAGAACTCAAAGCTCGAGCGAGAAACAGTGGGCTGAGAGGTTATTCTCGAATGAGAAGAGCTGAATTTATCTCTTTACTAGATAATAATGATAATGATGATAATATTCAACATAATGACAATGTTGAGAATAAACAACAAGAATTAATATTTGTACCCACATCCTCCGACGTTGGTAAATATCTAAGAGGTTGGAAGATGGATATTAATTCCAACATGGATGTTAACGATATTAAGCCCATCATATTGAATAAAATTAACGAAGAGTTAGATGATTTACATAGTATAAAATACCAGCTGACGATTAAAATGTTATTGAGTAACAGTAACACAGACGATAGCACCGAATATACAGAACCATATTTCCGTAGCAATGAAGAAGTTATAACCGAATCCGATACTATAAATGCATCATTAGATACATCAATTCAGAGGATACAAGAAACTTTAGAACGCTGGACTAATAGAGGTTCGGGTTGGGGTGTGGATAAAATCGATAGTTTATATTTAGATATAGCAAATTATATGCCCTTCAAAGGTGGATCTTATATAGATTTACCCCCGTATTATAAGAAGAAAAAAGCCATAATTAACGTAAAAAATAAATCCGATGACTGTTTAAGAATGATGATAAGATCTGCATTGTTCCCCATAGACAAGCATCCGGATAGACCTTCTAGCTATCCCCAAAACGATGGACTCAACTTCGATGGTATAGACGAACCTACACCAATATCACAAATTGATAAGGTGGAAAAGCATAATAATTTAGCTATAAATGTTTTCGGACATTCTAAAGGAATTGTTGTACACAGGATAAGCTCCGCTCTGGAACATATCCCCAGAATCAATTCATTTCTGATCGAAAAAGATGGAAAATATCATTATACGTGGATAAAGAGTTTAAACAGGCTACTATACGATCAAACAAAACATAAGGAAAAGAAATATTTCTGCGAAAGATGCCTACATGGGTACAGCAGACAAGATCTATTAGAAGCGCATAGAGAAGACTGTAGAGGTGTTGGACAGAATGCTATCAGGATCGATATGCCTAAAGAGGGAAAAAATATATTAAAATTTGAACATTATTGTAATCAAATGCCAGTACCGTACGTAATTTACGCCGACTTCGAAGCGCTTATCAAACCCATAGAAAATAATCAAGATAGTAGTTTTACGTACAAAACTCAAGAACATACTCCTTGTGGGTTTGGATATATAGTTGTAAGGTATGATGGGAAAACAAACCCGCCCGTGATTTACAGAGGTCCCGATGCAGCGGGAAAGTTCCTAGAATATCTACAAAATGAAGAGAGAATAATCAGGGAAAAAATATCGTGTAAGAAACCGATGTGTATGAGGAGGGATGATTGGAGGGCCCATAAGAAGTCAACGAGTTGTCATGTTTGTAATAAACCCCTGGATGGGGATTCCGTAAGAGATCATTGCCACGTCACGGGTAATTATCGGGGGGCCGCTCATAACGGGTGTAACTTGAAACTAAAAATGAATTCTCAAACAATACCCATCCCCGTTGTGTTTCACAACCTTAGGGGATACGATTCACATCTCATTATGCAAGCTATCTCAAAGACCGACGGTGGTTTAACGTGCATTTCTAACAATATGGAAAAATACATATCGTTCTCGTTGACTAAACCTATACATTATAGGGACAAGGATGGGAAATCTAGAATAAAGCAAAGTAATGGGCTTAGATTCATAGACTCCGTACAGTTTCTGTTATCTTACCTGGACAATTTAGCTAATGCAAACAATCCAGATGACTTGATAACAAATCAATATACCGATAAGATAACTCGTCATTTGTTGCTGAGAAAAGGTATATATCCTTACGAATATATGGATAATTGGTCTAGATACGAAGAAACTGAATTACCACCCCTCGAATCATTCTATAGTAACTTAACAGAATCTAAAATAACAGATGCCGATTATGAACATGCTCTGATGGTCTGTGATAAATTAGGTTGTAAGAATTTAGGTGATTATCACGATCTCTACTTAAAAACCGATGTGCTGTTACTCGCCGATATATTCGAGATATTTAGAAAGACATGTTTAAAACAATACGGCTTGGACCTGGCATGGTACTATTCCAGTCCCAGACTATCGTGGGATGCATTGTTGAAGAAGACCGGCGTAGAACTAAAACTACTCACAGATTACGATATGCACTTGTTTATTGAGAAAGGATTAAGAGGTGGTATATCGACGGCAGCGAAAAGGTATTCTAAGGCTAATAATAAATTAGTGGAAGGATACGATCTGAGTAAACCCGACATCCACATATTATATCTCGACGCCAACAATTTGTACGGATGGTCTATGAGTCAACCTTTACCCACTGGTGGTTTTGAGTGGGTCGATGATAATGATATCCATAATAATGATGCGAATAAAGGGTACATACTAGAAGTTGAATTGGAATATTCAAGTTTGTTACATAAAGATCATAACAGTTATCCGCTAGCTCCCGAAAGATTAATGATTAATAAAGATTGGATGTCGGAATATCAACGCTCCTTGATGGGTAATAGTAGGTTAGCTAATGTAGAAAAACTCGTACCAAATTTGATGGATAAAACAAAATATATAGTTCACTACAGAAATCTCCAGTTATATCTATCGTTAGGTATGAAACTTAAGAAAATACACAGAGTTCTAAAGTTTGATCAAAGCCCTTGGATGGAGCCCTATATAAGGTTGAACACAGATTTAAGAAAGAGAGCTACCAGCGATTTCGAAAAGAATCTTTATAAGCTCATGAATAACTCAGTATTTGGTAAAACTATGGAGAATCTAAGGAAGCGTGTTGATGTTAAATTAGTCAGATCTAATGAGGAAAAAAGACTCAGGAAACTTATAGCCAGTCCGGCTTTTAACAAAAGCAAGATATTCGATAACGAGTTAGCCGCGTTGCATATGCAGAAGAGTAATATAAAATTCAACAGACCGGTGTACGTCGGTTAGAGTATTCTCGACTTGTCAAAACACTTAATGTATGACTTTTTATTACAACGAAATTAAGAAGCAATACGGCGATAGATGCGAGGTGTTATATACCGACACAGATTCTTTGTTGATGGAAATACAAACCGAGGATGTGTATAAAGATATGGCAGAAAAAATATATGTGTACGACACGAGAGATTACCCAAAAGATAATCCACTGCACAGCATAGTAAATAAAATGGTGTTAGGTAAGATGAAGGATGAATGTGCTTGGACTCCTATAGCGGAGTATGTAGGATTAAGACCTAAGATGTATTCTATAAAAAAGTCTGATAATGGGGAGATAAGAAAAGCTAAGGGCGTTAAGAAGTATGTGGTAAAAAAGCATATCAAACACGAACTGTATAAAGAATCATTATTCAACGGTAGAACGTTCAAACACGAGATGAACTCTTTAAGAAGTTACAATCATAGGATATATGGATTAAGAATGAACAAGACATCATTATCCCCCTTAGATACAAAGAGATGGATTGATAATGATGGTGTAACTACCTATGCTTATGGTTATGGTGGTAATACCGTACCGTCGGGAACTATGAACAACTCTTCTCGTACAAATGCCCTACCCGGTCCATCTTGAAGATAATAAAGAATAGGCTCTCCTTCTTTCATAACCAATCGACTAATGTTATACGTCTTAAGGGACCATATGGGATCGGTTGCGCGACGTAGGCCTCCTTCGAGTTCACCTGCCTGGCATAAATATCTTACCCTTACTCTATCCGGAAGTTTTCGTTCTTTGCCTCTCCTCGGTGCTGAAGATTCGGAAGTCACGGATTTCATTTTAATAGCATCGGATGGTTTCTTCCCTATTAATCTCGTTACTTCATTATTTAGCGCTGATACAACGGCTGATAATCGTGTCACCCCTTGTCAACGCGAATTTTTATCGTCGGAAAACGACCCTCTTTGAAGATTGTTCTCAACCCCTTGGTGACCGTCATAGTCTTTTTATTCAGTAATGGGACAACCCACAAATACCTCGAGAGGATATCAATAACGATTAGTAAATATCGTATTTCATCATTTTTCTTAGCATAACGACTCACATCTGCCAAGTCAATATCCCACATTTCATCTCGGCTGTTCACCCGAACTCTCAAACGTGGAAACCTATATTTCACCGGCTTATGCAGCGAATAAGCATTCAAAAATTGTCTTATTTTCTTGACTTTATACTTGCTGTTTCTCTGTTTCTGCAATGCTTGTTTGAATTTTATCGGACCATAGAATGCACCCGGATAACGAGGGTTAAAATAATAATTTTCTTATGCCTTTACCGTAGAGGAATGTGCTGTGTCTGTAGCCATGATTCAACTGCGAGAGAGCGATATTCGTCTCTGCATAAATACATGTTAAGATAAACTAATGATATCTAAGAACGATAAGCAATGAGGACAAAACAATCAGAGTGATAAACAGCGTATTTTATTCATGTAAACACTCGTTCACAGAGAATCAGAAACAAATGACTGTTCAACCATAAAACACAGCATATTTCAACGTATGACATACTCTTATATCGACACCACCACCATCCTCATGTAGCGTATCAGTGTGATATTTTAAAAGTGTTGTTATCCACTCCTTAGGACCTTCGGCTTTCGCGTAACCGTTCAAGCAATTTCTGCTATCATTAAATGAAAGTATTTTTATTCGAGTACATATCGCCACAACTCTGTTCGAGTGCTATATTCTACGGCATGTAGGTTTTCATTGATGAGCGTAGTAAACTTCGAGTACATTCTTCTTCTTTTCATCGTCTTTAAATATGTAATTTTAAATTGTTCCTGATGATCATTTAGGCAGTGTTCGTTTATTCGTTGTCCTTTCATTCAGGTCAATCAGTACAACGCGTGTCTCGTCCATTCATACAGTCGGATGTCGGATGGGGTAAACATTATTTTCAGAGTACATACTAACGTATTGACTCTAAACAGGGTACTGTAACTTAAACATGGGTTACCATAAGGGGGGGGACGGTTATTTCAATAAGACCATTTATGGTGGTATATCACAGTGTAGGGTTGAGGTGGGTAAAAATTCTTAAAGCCGATACATGTAACACAACACAAGAAGGCGGTTTGAGGATTACGTAGTTTTAATCACAATGGAATATGTACAAGTCAAAGGAAGTGTGCCGTCCTTCCTTCCTCCCTCTAGATACTCGCCTGTACCTTAGGGTGCTGAGACCAAGTCTAACGGTATTTGGAAGTCGCCCGGTATATATAGTAATGATGGAATGCGAAGCATTTTGTTTTGCACAGGTACTAAAATTTGGTGTGGTCAACTTGAGATTAAATTGACCATCAAGTGGTGTCCATGACGAGGCACTTAAAATTGTTCCCCTTAAGGTGACATGAAACCACCACTCACTGGTCCACTTGATATGTACTTGACATATCCACGGTGTCAGTCGTATCTGGCAAACACTGATAGTGTTACATCCGCCCCTTTCTACTTGGAAATATTGTTGATATTTCCAGGCCTCATAAGTCGATCTTAAAAATATACACAGTTCCATATATACATATACAAAATAGAGTGTAAATATTTTACAACGATCATGCTGTCCGTGACCGGACTTAATCGCTTTTAAAATGTCACTTAATCACAATCTTGGCCCTCGACCGGCTACAGACACACCATTATGGTCATCTGTGATTGTCAGTTCTGCGTTGTGTTCTTCTTTTCAACTTAGTTCAACTTTATGGTCGTCACCACAAGTTCCAATATGGCCGCCGTCCATCTTCGTCACCAGCCTGTTCATCTTAGTTCATGCAGCAACATACCGCAACACTGTACTGTTTAGTAGTGGGCATCCAGGCCAGGGTACAGGCGTCGTATTGATGACGTCGTTGTCGGCGCCGAAGTCTGATCCCCCGTCATCAGTGGTGCAGAAGCTAAGCCGCTCCTGGAGTCGGTACTCGCGACCTGGATCACATCAGATCCCACCAACTCGAATTCGGGTGTTTCCCAGGTGTGCTTTCCCCAAGTGAGCATTTTGGATAGCCAAAAGTTTCTATATCTTAAAACCATTATCAATAATATTATGACTAGTAACATGATACCCCCAACTAACCACCATTTCCAGTTAATTTTCTTTTCCCAACTAATTTCAGTATTAACACTATGTAATTCATCAATTAAATGACTCATGGATACTGTATCTATATTCTGGAGGTGGTTTGGAACTTTCGATATCGTCACATTTCTAAATTTTTCCTGAAAGGGTTTCCATAACAGCATATCGGAAACGTTTGGCATATGAGGTAGCTGGGAAGGAATGACTAACAGTCGATTTCCCCTAGTCTGTCTTACAGACCCTGATACATTTATATCAACTACAGCCCATGCAAGTCTATAATGTTTGGCAAGTCTAGATTACTGCAGTATCTGAAAATGAAGAGAATCACTGGGCTCCCTTTTTATTAGATTTTTAGTAAGATAACTGAACAACTGTTTTTTTCTGTACGATATGTTCATTTCAGAGACTATATGTTAGTCTAGATTTCCCCCTATATTTATACCTGAGACCTCCTTTGTTAATCTGAAGGCAGGTCTACACGTGCATGTCCAGTTTGAAATTTGAGACTTTGGACTAATAAAGACTGGACATGTTATACAATTTTGTATGATGGGTTTGTTCTGTTAATAGCCAAAGCAGATGGTCAGTTTGGAAAGTTGAGTAATAGAAGATTATAAATGCCGATAGAATCACTCAGCTCGTGTTTGGTTTCGCGTTTTCAATTTTCTAGTTTGGTCAGTTGACGCTAAATAGCTGATAACGGTACACTGGTAAGTGCCAAACGCGCTGACCACTACCAGTTGTTATTCAACATGTAATTAAAGTCTCGCCCACCGACCTGTTTCAGGCAGCGTAAATCTGAAGTGCCAGATGTTGTTATACAATTTCTTATCGCTAGTATGTACCGACAGGTCTTAAATGGTTAACCGACAACTTATGAATTGAAGGCGAATTTGACAAAAAGTTGAATAAAATATAACAATTTTAGCACTGTTACAATATCCCTGGGCGTCGTGGAGCTTTTGACCTCAAAAGCTTGAAGTAACATCAGGTAAAATAATGGTAATTAGAGTCGAAGTGTACAAGCATAAGATATGATCACATCTAAGCACATGACAACAATGATACGTACTGTTCAGAATGCCCAAATCTCATATGTACATTCAATAAGTATAGAAATACACATTGCAACAACTAAAATTGAGGTAGAAGTGATGTCGGGTCCACTACCTTATAATATCCATTATGAACTAGAAGGACATAGGCAGTGAATGGCTGTTTAAAGAGTCGCTGCAGCTTTTGAGCTGTAAAGAATGATATCTGAATGGTTGAGGGAACGGTAAGGGATGTGCTGGTAAGTTTATTTGTTACCATAAAGCCTGTCCAATCAACTGACAGAGTGGGAAAAATGTATCCCGAAACACAAAGGTTGTCTACTGTGTATGGGGCCTGGATGTCCCAGTAGGCAGGGCATAGAGTCAAAGACAAAATAGGGACAGTGACACATTCAGGACCTGTAGTAAGTTCTAAAACAAGGCCATTTTGAAGTCCTGAATGGCACTGAAAGATGAGTATAAGCAAGATGGAGGCAATTAAAAGTGTGATAAAACCGAGAAGGATTGAGACATGGTAGTCAGCAAGATCTGTGATGACAAAGTCCGTGGGTGGAGTACTAGCAGTGGCATGATCATTATAATTAAGAGCTGGTGGTTGCACTGCTTTGGTCGGGACAACGCGAGTGACTAACATGAGTGCTGTTGATAGAGTTCGAATTTTGAAAAACATTCAAACAACCAAAATTATAGACACAGCTGATGCAATTGAGGCGCTCACGGCTAGAATAGCATTCGTATCAAGCCAGGAACTTGGAGGAAGACTGATTTGACCTCAAGTAGAATGTGGGGAGGTGCTATTGATTGGCAAAGGTAAAGAGATAACTTTATACATTTGAAGGGGTTTAGCCAATGAAGAGAGTGGAAATTTAACTGAGATGTAGATATGGGACTTAGTACGGGCAAAGATAAATATAGCATGGGAATAATAAAATGTAGGGGTGGTGTGCAATAGTTGAAAATTTGGATATTTATCAGATAAAACTGCGGACAGGTGATGATTTGTTTGTTCTAAAATTTCAGGTGCTACCAACAATGGTGATAACTTATTTTTGGCTAAGTCTAAGATTCCTAACTTTAATTCTTCCAACTGGTGTTCTATAATGGAAGCATGTTGGATTTGATCAATCAAAAGGCCGGTGAGAGCAGTAAATGTAGACTGGATTGTTTTGACATTGTTTTCCATGGCAATAGCTGTAAATGTAATTGCATCATGATTAGCTTTGACACCTTTAAGTGCATTCTTAAATCTAGAGTCGACAAGCTTCATAAACGAGGAGAGATGGGCAGAGTGTTGTTGGATGGTGTTTGCAAGGTTTATATCATGTCTTGTGAGAGCATTAATATGTTTGGCGAGAAGGTTTACATCACTGGTAGTAGCAGTACCAAACAATGTTTTAGAGAGAGACCCGACAAAACTAAGAATAGCGCGTTTAGATCTAGATGATGAAGGTATTTTTTATGCTGGAATTAGCTTAATAATTTGTTGTCTAGTTTCATTTAGCTGGGCAACGCATCTAGTTTTAATTACATTTAGATGCATTTGAATTTGGTGAAGTAGGACACAGGTTCTGTTACTGTGTAGACATCCACTCATGGTTGGGATGCCCGGTACATGTGGAAGCTTCACCTCGTGTGTGTGTATCCAGTAATCTGTGGCAAAATTGATTTGAGATGACGGTTGAAACACAACCCCATAGTTAAGACGTTGAACTGGACCGGAAGCGAGGACAGAAGGGGCGCTAAACGAGAGTAGCCACAGGATAATCAGACTCCATGATGAACCTTAGAGAAACGAAAGAGAACATGGGACAATTAGATGTGATGACCTGGTTGAGCACAATGTTCTGGCTAGCAACATCTGAACAACCTAGCACTATGAGACACAGAAACGACGTAACTGTAAGAAGGGGTGGTCATTCAACATCTAAGGCAACAGTTAGAAACTTCTCAAAGATAGGTGGGAGCTGGTGTAACCTTGGTATATTATTTAAAGTATTTTCGCCCATTTTTAGCGCCTTTTACCGGACATGGTGCTAGATCTATGGAAGTGTTGGATTAGGTCCTGACTGAGATTGCAGAATGGTTCCCAAGTGGTTTTAGAGTAACCTAACCATTTGATGTGATAGTGTTTTGTGCCATTGACAACTTTGCATTCGAGAATCTTGTCAACAGGATATGTTTGGTCATCTTGAGATGTGGTGCTGGCTGCTGTGAGAAGCCGGTACCTGACTGAGATGTAGATGGTGAACTGCCTTGATCAGAGATATATGGCTGTGACTAGACCATCTGTGTGTCTGGGATGTGTGTCAACATCATTGCTTGGAACCGGAGGATGACATCTTTGGTCTTGGACATGATCTGGGAGTCTATTGTTGGGATGTATGCAGGCAATGTGAGGTTTAATCTTGGAAATCCTGCCACCAGGACGTTGCCTCTTCTTGCCCAGTGAACGGACGGAGTTTGACATGTGGAGCTGCCATTTCACTCCAATCAGCTTCAGCAGAGGAGGATGAGCTTGATGGTGGTGGTGATGATGGTGATGAGGAGGATGCTGCTCTTGTCACAACCACTGATGACCTTTGGCTTGGTGCTGATGGTGTTGTCAGTGACGGTGAGGATGGTAGAGATGAAACCTGCTTAAGCAACTGGTCAGGGTCGACCTTGGCTCGGGCCTTCGAAGCTTCTCCCTGTAGTTCTGAGGTGTGGCACCGGACATCTTGGATTTAAGCTCCACCAATTGAAACAGCGTTAGTTTTTACACTAAAACTGATCAAAACCTAGAATGACTTTCGGGGAATTAGCCACGGGATCAACACACCTTCAAAGACAAACAGAGAGAGGTTCTCAGGCAAAGCAGGAATCTTTATTAAATGTTTTCATCGCCATCCAGCATATAGACATAGTCAGACAATCTCCTTCATCGTCATTAAACACAAAGACATAATCAGACAAATAATAAAGCGGTGATACAAAAACTGTTAAGATATTCGTCGTTATATAATAGGCATGAGTTAATAAACAATTATTTGCTATGTGATTTCACTTTGACAACAATGCATTAACTTCAGAGACGTCTCAGTACCTATTCAAGTTACAGCCTAATATAACATTGCATAAGATTACGTAACACATTTGTAATTAAAAATACCATTTGTAAGATAATAACAAGGTGTAAAGTGTAAGCTCAACTCATTGGATATTCATTTATATCATAGCAGTAAACATTTGATATAATGCCGACGTTATAATCAATTCACATTAAATTACTCATTGATAATTACTCATAATGTTTGGTCTATATATTTAAGGTACTCATAAATAACATCTGAACAATGTTTACAAAAAGCATTCATATGAAAGATTATAACAACACCTTTCTTGAACAATGACATGTCTAATAACTTATTCTACGTTAAATACGGTACATATGACGTCATGAACTATAGCTGGTTCAGATGCACACTTCAGGAGTTAGAAAGTGAATACAAGATTTAATACGGTAAATAATAATGGGACCCGCATTCAATGACTGAATATACTATACTAAATTCAGATAACAGCTATGCGCAAAATGGTTAAATACGGTACGTGACGTCACTGCCGAGCGCTGGTGAGTGTGCCGTTATATAACAAATGAGCGGTGCCGCCTGTGCATGCCGCGCTATGCGGGCCGAGCTTATACAAATCACACATGAATGAATACCGTATTTGAAACTTGAAATATATATGAATTAAAACTGATTATTAGTGAACGTATATTCTATTGTGAATGTTTATGAACCTTATTGGAGATTTCGCCAAACAGAGAAATTGCTTGTGAACTGTAATTTAGAAATGGATATAAACACTGCTATAGGAAAGCCTGTTTCATTATAACTATTCTACAACATAAAACTACAACGTTATCTGTAGCGTCCAAATTATGCTAAAAGTATAGTATCTGAGATATTCTATACAGCGTCCATTCATCTTACCGAATGGAAATAATATGCATAAATTGGAAAACATAAATTTATCAGGCATTGATTAAATTGCGTGCATTTATCTAGAACAAAAGTTACGTTGGAGTATTGTGGTCTAGTGCTATGCCCTCACAAAGTAGTTACCTAATAAGAAATATAGTTTGGGCTACAGATAAGAGTAATATATTTTGCTGTACTTGCACTGATCTGGTTTTGTATATAAAAAATATATTTGATGCATGAACATCGGATATAAGTTATATTCTAGAACCGTATTTATCAGGCATAAGAACGCAAACAAATATACATAACGTAAATTATATCGAGTAACTGGATCATGTTTATGCATATTGACGCATTAAACATTGTTGCATTATAGAACCACTCTACTAACGATACAGCATACAATAAGGTAAATAACACGACACACATATGAATACTGGTCCTACCGATACACGGACAAATAATTCATACATTATTATAATGCACGCTATTCACATTGAAACATGATAATTATGAAGCATCCACGACACCTGTGATTAATAATCATTTGCCTAGTAGTTTTAACCCGATAAATAAACATGTGGGATACGAACGCTGATTGTGGAATAGTAATATTTCTAAATGCGACGCAGGCATAGAAATTACTATAGTTAATTTGTGTCAGTAAAACTTGAATAATATGCAGCTTAGATTCGCACGGTATTTCGAATACATAGAGCATAAGTTCATTGTTCAAGCAAGATATTCATTCAAAATTAAAGACAAGTTTAAAAGACAATTTTAAACAAAGTTCAACCTAAATGGCAAAGTAACAAGTAAAAGTGACTTACCTTCAAAGACAAACAGAGAGAGGTTCTCAGGCAAAGCAGGAATGACTAACAGTCGATTTCCCCCTATATTTATACCTGAAACCTCCTTTGTTAATCTAGAAGCAAGTCTACACGTGTATGTCCAGTTTGAAATTTGAGACTTTGGACTAATAAAGACTGGACATGTTATACAATTTTGTATGATGGGTTTGTTCTGTTAATAGCCAAAGCAGATGGTCAGTTTGGAAAGTTGAGTAATAGAAGATTATAAATGCCGATAGAATCACTCAGCTCGTGTTTGGTTTCGCGTTTTCAATTTTCTAGTTTGGTCAGTTGATGCTAAATAGCTGATAACGGTACACTGGTAAGTGCCAAACGCGCTGACCACTACCAGTTGTTATTCAACATGTAATTAAAGTCTCGCCCACCGACCTGTTTCAGGCGGCGTAAATCTGAAGTGCCAGATGTTGTTATACAATTTCTTATCGCTAGTATGTACCGACAGGTCTTAAATGGTTAACCGACAACTTATGAATTGAAGGCGAATTTGACAAACAGTAGAATAAAATATAACAATTTTAGCACTGTTACATTATTATCAAAATCTTTTCCTCTTAAACTAAGGTCGAGCATGTTAATGTTCGATAATAATTCCATAATTCCTTTTCTGGATCTTTTGCCAGTTTATAGCCACTTGGTAAATGAATATTTATTTCACGTAATAATACTAATAATTCACTTGGAGTGACAGTGCCTGGCGACAAGTGTCCGAGTGATAGAGCATTAAATTGTAATTGGAGGTGATTGATATAAGACATCAATGTTTGTATTGTTTGTCTTAGGTCTTCAATTACTAAATCTATCTTGAGATAAGTGTTAGTGGCCCATTCAAGTTTATCTATACGCCCCGCAAGAGTTCGGGAGATGTTTGCTACATTAACCTCTACTTCCTATAGATTATCAATTACTGTATTAATTGTTTGTCGGTTCTTCTGAACTTGAATCCTTGTTTTGAGACACTAAATCAGTTAACCTTGATTTCAAATGAACTGGAGCGTCAATGTCATTATTGAGATCACTGGATATGTCCCTATCAGCTAATTCATCAGATAAATTCATTAAGTTTTCAGTCGCTACGCTTATGAGCTCCTCTAGTACGCAACCTCTCTTCAACCTAAATGTACGGTTGGTATTGTTGACTAACAGTAATGGTACATTCCTATGTTTATCAATCTTAACAATAGAATTTCCTATGAGTAGACCTGGTTCATTTGCTGGGTAACTCTTTTCAATTGCTGAGATTTCATACGTGCTTAATGTGTCAAAATATGGTCTATTTTTAACCTTTGCCCTTAAGATATTTCTACACTGAGGTTTTACTATTGTATCCGCTGCTAACCTGACTAGAGAAGATATATGGATATCTTCCTCTAGCGGTACATAAGTATTCCCTACTCTTAAGCTACCCAAGTCGAAATACACCCTGACACCTGCCTGTGTCAACCAATCGTGTCCTAATATAAGATTTCTGTTCATGTTTTCTACAACATAGAAGGTATGGGAAAATTGACGCCTCTCATCCTAAAGTGAACTTTCACATTCCCATCTACCTGTAACGAATTCCCATTGACCCCTTGTAAAGCGACTTTCTTTTTGTTTAACGGAAATCTATCTTTTATTGAATCGTACACCCTACGATGCATTATCAACACTTCAGCCCCAGAATCAATTAAACACCTCCATTGTTTTTTTTTTTCCTATTTTGATACTACACAAATTTGGTCCATTTTTTTAAATCTTTCGGGTTCCCCCCAAATGTTTTTATAGCTTGATTCACCCCCTGTGCGCTTAGCGTTGTATTTACAACAGCTAGCCTCCCGTTTATTTCATTTCCCTGTGCCCCTAATGTTGAAGTTACTGCTGATAACTGCATCGTTATTTCTCCCGCTAACCCTTGTAAGAATTGTGCATATTCTGCCATTTTGCTCACGTAAGTACTTGCAAAAACCCAAAGAATCACCTTTTTGCGAGTCCCGGGACCAATTCCCTCGATCCTAGTCGTTTCCTGGGGTCCCTCTCCTTCGCTCCTTAAGGCGATCCTGGTCTCGGCACAAGTTTACGTAACCCCGCCCCTTCTTGTAACACAACACAAGAAGGCGGTTTGAGGATTACGTAGTTTTAATCGCAATGGCATATGTACAAGTCAAAGGAAGTGTGCCGTTCTTCCTTCCTCCCTCTAGATACTCGCCTGTACCTTAGTGTGCTGAGACCAAGTCTGCCGGTATTTGGAAGTCGCCCGGTATATATAGTAATGATGGAATGCGAACTTGAGATTAAATTGACCATCAAGTGGTGTCCATGACGAGGCACTTAAAATTGTTCCCCTTAAGGTGACATGAAACCACCACTCACTGGTCCACTTGATATGTACTTGACATATCCACGGTGTCAGTCGTATCTGGCAAACACTGATAGTGTTACATACATGTTGAAAATTAAGATTGAAAATAAGAATAAGACTGACTTTTTACGACGAAATATATTACAGAGTTGGAAATTAAGATTGAAAATAAGAATAAGACCGACTTTTTACGACGAAATATATCACAGAGTTGAAAATTAAGATTGAAAATAAGAATAAGACTGACTTTTTACAACGAAATATATCACAGAGTTGAAAATTAAGATTGAAAATAAGAATAAGACTGACTTTTTACGACGAGATATATCACAGAGTTGAAAATTAAGATTGAAAATAAGAATAAGACTGACTTTTTACAACGAAATATATCACAGAGTTGAAAATTAAGATTGAAAATAAGAATAAGACTGACTTTTTACAACGAAATATATCACAGAGTTGAAAATTAAGATTGAAAATAAGAATAAGACTGACTTTTTACAACGAAATATATCACAGAGTTGAAAATTAAGATTGAAAATAAGAATAAGACTGACTTTTTACGACGAAATATATCACAGAGTTGAAAATTAAGATTGAAAATAAAAATAAGACTGAGTTTTTACAACGAAATATATCACAGAGTTGAAAATTAAGATTGAAAATAAGAATAAGACTGACTTTTTACAACGAAATATATCACAGAGTTGAAAATTAAGATTGAAAATAAGAATAAGACTGACTTTTTACAACGAAATATATCACAGAGTTGAAAATTAAGACTGAAAATAAAAATAAGACTGACTTTTTACAACGAAATATATCACAGAGTTGAAAATTAAGATTGAAAATAAGAATAAGACTGACTTTTTACGACGAAATATTAAAAAATGCCAGGCTGATGCCAATGCCAAATGATGAATGAACTCGTACATTCTCCTCGATGACGACATTCTACTTATTTATGAGTAGCTATATCAATTGATCGAGGACTGTTTCATTCTTTCACGATAGGGTGACATTCCGTTTGATGACGATCATTCTAGTATACATCTGAAGGTATCTACCCCGACTACATTCCACATAGCTGGCATTCCTAAAGAATTCCAAATTTCTTCACAAAAGGGATGACATTCCATTTGATGATGATAATTCTAGTATATATCTGAAGGATTCTACCCCGACTACATTCCACATAGCTAGCATTCCTAAAGAATTCCACATAGCTGGCGTTCCTAAAGAATTCAACACAGCTAGCATTCCTAAAGAATTCCAAATAGCTGGCATTCCTAAAGAATTCCTCAACTATGACATTTTAACAAAGGCCGCATTCTTCACATTCTTAACATGCATGCATAATGACTCCGTTCTCATTGTGACGTCATGCATGTCTATTAGCATAACACTAGGCTCATTAATATTCATAGGCGCCTTCCCACGGAAGGCGCTGCAAGGCGCTGGACATCAACATTTACTCCTACTCACCACTTTACAATGGGAGAAAACGGGACATAATCGGCGACATTTGCGTAATCAGATTTTCTAAAATAAAGATGCTAACGGTTTTTCATTGATGTGGTCGTTTAAGTCCATGTTTTTTATGTATATGATTTCATGATAACAGTGAGCTGACACGAAATATTAACGCACATAAAACTGCTGAAAATGGGGTGTGTGTCATTGTTTACATTTCACAAATGTGACCACCACTTTCGAGTCTCGAAACAGCTTAAATAGTGTTTTCCTTCACTAAAAGTAACAATAGATATTATTCTCGTGACAAATACATTGCAAGAGCATTCATGAAAATGCTAAGACAAAATTTAACCACCCGTTCTAGAGTTTTTCTGTAGTAAATACATGGCGTGTCCGTCATGTTTGTTCGTCTAGTGAAGGCAGCCATTGTGCAGTCATTGCCTGGGTCAGTGTAGCGCCAGCGCAGCATCCCCAGGGAACCAGGCTGAATCGCTACATGAATCAAATTCTTCAACCTCACCTTCTTCCAATCATTGACCGCCAATCATTGACTTCCAATCATTGACCGCCAGAGGGAGCTGTTTCAACAGGACAACGCTCCAGCGCACACAGCTCGTGTCACGGTTGACTACCCTCATCATGCCAACATCAACGTCTTGCCCTGGCCGTCGAGATCTCCGGATCTCAACCCAATCGAACACCTCTGGGATGAACTCGATCGACGTGTACGTCAACGTCAGAACACGCCGTAGACACTCCCACAACTGGCCAACGCGTTACAAGCAGAATGACAGGACAGCATTACTACACTTATCCAGTCAGTGCCGAGGAGATGCAGAGCCGTGATTGCTGCCCGGGGCGGTCACGCGAGATACTGAGTTCAGGGTCACCTTGTAGCCTTATGTGACATGACAATGAACAGTTGTCAATGCCTTTGTACAACGTCAACATGTGACTATCGACCTCCAAAATTTCATATTTGTATCAATGATATTAAATTAAATATATCAATGTTATTAGGTACAATGAATTTACTAACAATCTACCTGTGCCTTTCTCTTTTTGTTGTAAAATCAGTTAATCCAGACTGCTTATATGATTGTCCATTAAATACGTCATTACAATATAAACTGGTTTCGCCGGCAACACTCCGGAGTGATGGTATTCTAAAAATAGATAATGTCACGTCATGTCACGGCTTGTCATCGTGATGTGAGAGTGATGCAGGTCTTACCGCTTTGGTGAAACCTACAAAAATCAGAAATCTCAAACTTGACACGGGTCATTTGACTGCAGGGTTCCCAGCTCGCACCTTCGCCATGACCCGTGACATAGTAACCCCGTCTTAAAGGAAAGCTATATAGTGTTACAAAGGAGGTATAGAGCGACTGCTTTTACGTTATGTTATATATGAATAGTTAAGGAAGGAGAAAATAGTATCTCAATTCCGTAATTTAATGTATTTTGATGCGAAAAATGCGAGGCTCCCAGATGTGCCACTAAGTTTTCAGGCGATTTCAATAGGGACGTTTACATAGACAGTCCCCGGTGTTTAAGGGAAGCTATATAGCTTTCCAAACGGGTTACAGAAGGATTCCGTTTACGTTTCGTTATACCTAAATAGTTGAGGAAGGAGAAAATAATATTTCAAACCCGTATTTAAACTATTTCCATGCAAAAAATGCCAGGCTCACAGATGTGCCACTAAGTTTTCAGGCTATTTCTATAGAGACGTTTTCACAGACAGCTCCCCGTCTTAAAGGGAAGCTATATAGTTATCCAAACGGGGTACAGAACGATTCCTTTTACGTTATTTTATGCCTAAATAGTTAAGGAAGGTGAAAATAGTTTTTCAAACCCGTATTTTAAACTATTTCCATGCGAAAAATGCCAGGCTCACAGATGTGCCACTAAGTTTTTAGGCTATTTCCATAGGTAGTTAAGGTAGGTGAAAATAGTTTTTCAAATCAGTTTATAAGTGCACTTAATACACTCGTATGGTGTTATACGCTTTACCGGCTTTTTCACGGCGTCGGGTGGCTGCAGGAATGGGCTTCATTCGAAACATTACCCCGATGAAAGGAATCGAGCTCGGCAGTTTCGGCGTGACGTGCCAAAACTTGATTGAGACACTGAGCTACCTTATCGCTAATATGGACATATTTTCTTCCCACATATTACATTTACAAATATTACCGCGCACACTGGAATCTGTCGAGACAGGACTTTAACTAATCAGCATTTGTAATACAAGGCGATATCAATTGTGCCGAATGTACTATGATTCATAATAATACTTCTTTGAACTTTGTTTCTATTTACATGTGTTATCATCTCTTATAATATTCCTAATACGGACCTCTGTCTAAATCAGACTAACTTTTGACGTTCATTTCCCCTGGATGTCAAAACTAATGACTCAATGAAGTCCAAAGCAGATATTCCACTGCACTACACAATACACATTGAACGTCAAAAGCCCCTTGCATGAATGCGCAATGCGGATGCGATAGGATAATTCTCTCAAATGTTGGATGCAAATCGATCTACACAATTCGGATACGATGTCATACATCAACTAAATCAGCGAGCCTGACCACCCGATCCCGTTAGTCGCCTTTTACGACATGCATGGGTTGCTGACGACCAATTCTAACACGGCGCTTCACGGGTTAATATTGTTAGTAGCGGGTGACCACGCCTGTATGAACACCACCAAGCCAATAGTCCTTCATTTCCCAATGAACGTCCGTATGCCGCGTAATTGCGTTATCAATTCGAATTACGAATTCCCCGACGTCTAACAATAACATCAAAGAGGGTCGGAATTTGCTCACGTGAGAAGGCACTGTCTTCATCTGACAGCCTACCTATCCATAAACCTACAAATGTAGGTTAAAAAAAGCATAACTAAGAAATCATTTTTACGAAATAGGATTGTTAAAAATACTTAAACAAAAATGTCATTAAAATTTCCACTTAAAGAACGATTTTGTAAATTCTGTAATTGTGATACTGTTGAAGGTGAAGTTCATTTTCAATCTTACTCTGATCTTAGATTTTGGGAAAGATGTAGCTTCCATAGATCTTATTTTATATACGTAGTAGTTGAAAAGCTTGTACATTAATTTAATGTCAAGTTCTACTTTTCTTAACCCCCTCGCTTCACTTCGATCTGAAATGCATAACTGGCGTCTCATCGACCATGGGAGGTATTTACAGGTTGTTAAAATTAGCAATCCCCGTCATTTGAATCGGCCAGATGTTGTATTTTTAGTAATGTATTGGGTATTGTTCGTCATACATGATGTGACACACTAATGCAATATTTTCGCCTTCGTTAACGGTACCAAAAAACTAGAGATGTAATGATGTTTTCCCCC